AGTTGGGAAGATTAGAAAATCTCACACTGTGTTATAAGTCCTGAGACAGGAAATAACCAGTAGAAATTCATTTTCCAGGGCACTCGTTAAAATGTCAATAATAGTTATCCTGTTTTAATCAACAAGATAGCATGACAAAAAGAAAGGGGAAGGTGAATAGTTGTTCTCAGATATGTACAACAAAGGACATTTTTTCCCACAATTTTCACCTTTCCAGAAGCTAGGGAGATCAATAAAGCACCAATCAATTCTTATAAGAAGGGCAAAATAAAGTAAAACCTTAAACTGCCTCTTACAAGAAAAGGAGGGGGTGGTATAAACAAGCTGAGAGAGAAAATCTTATTCAGTAAGTGGTGCTGATGTTGAAATGACTGGTTAACTATTTGTAAGAAACAGTTAAGCACAAATTAAAATAAATTCCATACAGAGTGAAGAGTTAAATGTAATACATAGCTATAGATAGAGAGTATAGATAAAGATATATATCTAAAAATAAATTAAATAAAAATATATCTAGGGCTTCCCTGGTGGTGCAGTGGTTGAGAGTCAGCCTGCCGATGCAGGGGACGCGGGTTCGTGCCCAGGTCCGGGAACATCCCACATGCCGCGGAGCGGCTGGGCCCGTGAGCCATGGCCACTGAGCCTGCGCGTCCGGAGCCTGTGCTCCGCAACGGGAGAGGCCACAACAGTGAGAGGCCCGCGTACCGCAAAAAAAAAAAAAAAAAAAAAAATATATATCTAAACATAAAAGCAGTGGAAACAATCTGCAAAAAAAGTTGAAACAGATATCACTGTTCAAAACATCAAGGCAGAATGGCTCCATGAAGCCTAGCTGAACAGCTTAATCAAGTTCCTCCTCATCTCTGGAATGTCAGCATTCCAGGCTGAACATTTCACTGTAGCCTGACCCATGATCCATCCTCCCATGAGATTCTCCCAGCATCCTCTCTGCCAAGGCTCTCTTCTCCCTAAATCATTACCCTTTCCCAATGACATGGTTTTCCCGTTTAGTGCACTTGAGTGGTACTCTTATTCCCCAGTTTTCAAATCTTTATAGAAGCTTCTTTTTGTATCTCAAACTGTTGATAGTGCAAGAAAAGAGGGTGATAAAGAGAAGAGAGTTGGAGCCCAGGCATACAGGATGAGAAGGCTAACATTTAAATTCCTAGACAAGAGCATGCTGGGCCATACAGCTATGAGGCAGGGTTTTAAGAGATGTTTGTTTCCCTCTTCATCTGACTACAAATATATGACATATAATTAATTTTTTTCCAAAAAATTTATAAACTAGAAAAGCAAGAGATGCCTATGTAAAAATAAACTCATCTACCAATATAGAACAAGTTCTGAAAAACTGGACTTTTTTTTTTTTTTTTTCTTCAGAAACTGGACTTTGAGAACAGATTTAGTAAGTCTTAAAAAGTCAAATACCACCCTCTGAGGCTACATTCAGCACCCAGGTTCAGAAGACCTGGATGTGGCTCCTGATTCTGCCATTTACTGCTGGGTAGTTTAATTTTAATCATTTAATTTCTCTAACCCTTACTTTCCTAATTTAGCCAATGGTGATAAGTCAGCAATTTCTAGAATCATGAGGAGAGCTATTAAAAATTACTGATTCCTAAGCTCTCCAAACCAGACCTACAGAATCAGAATCTCAGAGATGAGGGAATTTGTAAAAGTCTCTTCTTGTAAAAATCTCCTCAGTGTGATCTGGACACAGTGACTCGGAGAATGATAGCTCGAAATGCTGAACCAGCTCAGTGGTTAGCAAACCTCCAGCCCCCACCTTCCTTCTCTCACTATTGCTTGAGCCCATAACTCCTTTCTCCACAAGGAGTGAGGGAGACTGAGGCTTAGAACTGAGGAACCTTCAGACAGCAGCCTGGGCATGGGCAAGCAGAGGTGTCCTCTGTTATGCAGCTAATGGGGGAGGTCAGAAGGGAAGACAGATATGCCCTTATCATGTCAAGGGGGTCCTCAGACACTTTTCTCATGGAAATACTGTGAGGTGATGGTTAGGAAAATGCTTACTTAGATATAGGCCAATGTAGACCTCTAGTCTTGCTTGGAAGCAGCCAACACCTCTGTTTACATAATTTCAATGGGAAAAATGCACTGCAGTCTCTAAACGAACAACTCATTATTGTATGCTGGAAGCTGCCAGCACACAAAAAAACAAGAACACAATCCAAAATGATTAGCTCTGGCTTCTGGATTGAGTTATTTTTGTCTTTCTTTAAGTATAATCATGGAATTACACTTGACACCTTTTAAGTATCAAGCTTTCTTTGAATGAATACCTACATTAGCTTCCTTCAATGATTACTTTCCTATTATCAGAGGTTAGGGGACAGACAACAATTCTTTAAAGTATCCCTTCGGATTACTGGTAAGTTTTTTCTTTTCCCCCTGCAATTTTATTATTTATTTTTTACATCTTTACTGGAGTATAATTGTACTGGTAAGTTTTTGAACAACTGTTAGAAATACGTGCTAAGAGTCAAAGACTAACATAGAACTGGCACCAATTTATATAATAATGCAAAAAAGCCCCAAACATTTAGTTCTGATCACGTGTTAGGCATTAACCTATGCCTATGGTTAGGCATTTCAGTCTTTATTCTTCCTGGTCAAATTGTTAAATTGCTTTTATTCCCTCTGCTAAAACTCCAGTTTGCACCTGCGCTGGCATGTACTCTAAGCATCATCAGGATAACAATGTATGTCTACAAAGCACTTCTGTTTCAAAGGGCTCTCACAGCATTATTTCATCTGTTTCTCATACTAGACCTGAAACAGGCATATCTGATATCAGGCTCATTTTATAAATGGTAGCTGAGTCAGCAGTCACGCAGCCAGCAAGGAGTGAAGGTGGTTCACCTTCCAAAGGTGAGAAGGGCAATGGGAAGCCAGGTAGCTACAGCCAGCGAGGCCAGACTGCAGAGGGACTGAATGCCCAAGGGTCTAAATCAACTTTGTAGGCAATGGGATTTTTAATCCTGAAAGTGATTAGATTTGTATCACAGGAAGCTAGCCAACAGCAGGAAGAATGAAAGGAACAGGTAATCACAAAAAAGAGGTGATCTGGAAAACAAGCGAAAATCTTGGAGGGTAAAACCCTACACTCACCGATTCTAGAGTCAGCTGGTGCTGCTTCCAGAAAATAATCATGGGGAAGAATCATCTAAAAGTGAGACTAAAACTTCTCCATGGCCACCATGGACCCTAGAAGCCCCTGGATCCCTCAGCTCGCTAATGTCCTCTACAATCCATGCCCCAAAGTGGCAGCCTGAGGCTCAGAGTCTGGTGTCTCCACCTTATCCTTTCATTCTCTTTAGCCCATGAAATAATGACAGGTTACCTCAGGGAGGCTGCCCATCTCTAGTGCGTTCTTTCCCTGAGTCAAATAGTAGACCCACAAAAGATCATAGCAGAATCCTAGAGAGAACACTCACAAGATCCACTTGTCCAACAAATTGTTACCGAGCCCCTGCTAGGTGCAGGCTCTGTTCTCGGCAGGGGGATACAGCAAGGAATCAAAGAACAGCCCAGGTTTCATGGCTCTTCCATTCTGACCAGCATCTCCTGCCTTCAGGCCTTCCACTTGCTCCTCACTCTTCCCGACCACTCTACCCTCAGAAATCTGCGTGAGTTTCTTATTCCCTGACCTCCTTTGGATTTTTACTCCATTACCACCTTTTCTGCAAGGCCTTCTCCAACCACGCTATTCAAATCACCTTCTAAAACTGCCCTTCCCTCCTTCTTCCCCTTCATTATAACACTTATCATCATCTAACATATGTTTCTCTTATTTTTTCATCTTTAATTATTTTTCTCCTCTCACTAGAATCTAAGCTTCAGAAAGGCAGGGGCTCTGGTCTGTTTAGTCCATGACTATACCCCAGTGCCTTTAGCAATAACTGGCATGTAGCAGGCATGAAATAAATCCTGAAGTTCACTCACGTGATCAAACAAGCCCTTTTGACACAGAGATACACACATAGGCCTCTAACGTTCACTTGCATTCATTATTATTACACACATGTATTTTCCTACATAGTCAGGAGTAAGTTCCCTATCTTGGACATATAGTTTTAAAGCCCTAAATGTCCAAATTTGTAGGCATTGATCCTTCCTTTGTTTGGTTCTCTTCAGTTCTTTGCTCTCGAGCTAAACATTTTTTTCCTCTTACACTCTCTTCCAACATGAACACTCTTCTTTTCGCACTCAGGCCATTTATTATAAGACATTTCCTACAGAATCCATAATCACTCACTATTTCCGGCTAAGTGGATGTCAATCCACAAGATGAAACAGCTTTACAAAACATAAAAATGATGTCAAACCTCTCATCTTTTCTTCTTTTCAAATGCAGTCTCTGACTTTAAAAGTAGGCATATAGGTAAACTCAAGCAATCAAACTGTGTTAAAATTCCATCCCTAATAAAATCCTCCCTTGTTTCTTCCTCTGATGTGTTTTTATACCTCACCTACATAGCCGGATTCTCAATGCAAAGATTTGGGTTTTTTTAGGATTTTGGGGGTATTTTTAGGAGAAAAGATACGAATGTACAAAGCCTCTGGTACAGAAATAATTACACACTATAGCTTCTGTTTCTCTAACTCCTGAGAAACACTGACTAATAAGGAGAAACAAATGGAATATGCCAGTAGGGCTGATCTTAAGGCCTGGTTCTCCCACCTACTAATTATGTGACCTCAGGCCAGCCTCAGCTTCCTTATCTGTAAAAAGAAGCTGATAGTCCCTGATCTGCTCACCACACAGAACTTTTCTGAGAATAAAATAAATCAGTCTAAGGAAACACTCCAAACTACAGAGCAACAGTCAAATGAAAGGTACAATGATGTTGCCTAAAGGTGAAGTCCTCTTAATCATTCTTTGAAGCAGAGTGAAATTTACAGTTTTATTCCTTCCACCCCCTTACACCAAGTATACTACAAAAAGTAATTTTTTATAGATATATTTTGGGATATACCTTTGACTGTATTGTCCTCAGATTAACCAGATGAATGTCACAAGGCAAAGATGACATTAATGGAGAGAATTCACCCAGCAGCTGAAGGGTGGGCACAGGGACCTTTTCTGTCATTGGAAAGATAGGATGATTCAGGAAAGAAGAAGTTATGTGGCTAAGGAGGGAAGGATAACTGACCGACTTCTTTTCTTCTTCCTACCAAGAAAAAACAAAAATGCTTAAGAGATATATTTGCAGCTCTTACAGTATTAATTGAATTATCAGACAGGGCTTAAACAGGAAAAAAATATACAAATATATTAATACTTTGATTTCATTATATTTTATAAATAAGTCTTAGACAATGCACAGCAGATTACCAAGTTCAGTTCTAAGAAAACAGTGTCCACCTAACTCCCATGTTGAGAAATCTCTCTTTTCCATTGCTTTAAAACTAAAAATCCTGACAACATTCTCAACAAACATTCTAGGACAAGGTATAACTTTTTATGAAAATTCTTTCTCAACCTACCATAAAACTCTTAAAGTAGATGGGTTGGGATGTTCTTATATCTTATACATCATCAAATGCTATCTCTTCTCCCTCAGGTTTTACCCATCATATTCTTATGGTTTCATTTATACACTTAACTAGACTGTGAAGTTATATATTGATCCAAAGTCATGTTTTATAAATGTTACCCAATGATAGGATTTTTTTTTAAAAAACTCAAAAATAAACAAGTATTTAAAATAACACAGGTAGCATAACTAGATCATCTGTTTTCTTTAAATTTGGTAAAATCATTGTCAGTTGCTTCACTTTATTCCAAAAATAGGAACTACTATATGTATTATAGAATAGTTAACACACATTTACATGGTACACAATTATTCAGTATAATTTTTAAATACTTTATTCTTTGCTATGATGTATGCTTATAGACAAGTATTTCAGCATGTTCAAACATTAAGTAAATCTACCAGAACTAGGGATATACATATGGTAGATGACATACACGATTAATTAAATCAATGACTAAGTAGAACCTTAACCAATAATGCCTAAGGTGTAAAAGCAGACACAGAAAAGCACTAAGAAGAAAACATAATTTACATAGAAAGGTCTTTTGATCACCAGCAACATTTAGAGAAAATTTAATTTTATATCTTATTTTTTGAAATGACGATTTCACTGATATCTTCTGATCTTGCGTATTTTTAATAGAGGGCTCAAATAAAAGGTTTGGCTACTTATCTGTGTAAAAAGATAAGATTTACAGAAGATACAGAGCTTAAAATTCAGAATGTCAGATTAGCATTGAACAGAGGGTGGTAGCAAAGAGTGAGGAGCATCTTGCCAGCAGCAAACTGTAGATATCATTACAATTCAGACTATGAAGAGAGAAAAGAAAATTTTTTAAAGGCAACAGAGGGACACTATAATATTAAGATACTGACAAAAAATATTAGGTATAAAAAGAGTTGTTAAAAAATTTTATCCATTCCACATTCCTTTTTTTAAAGGAAAGATTAAATAAAGCATATAAAATAATATTCTTCAGCAATATTGAAATTTAATGCAGCTTGTAGAATAACATGAAGAGAGAGGGAACATTTTCAACAAGAAGCTTTAAATGTACTCAAAGATCAAAGGACTTCATAATCTAGGTCAGGATTGCTGACAAAATCACTTTTGAGTAATAAAAGATAAAAGCTTTTTAAGGCAGGAAAACACCTGCCTTATCAGATTCTGGAGGCATTAAGTCCATTCTAGGTCAAGAAACATTCAGAAAAAGCTTTCTGGCTTTGTCCTATGCTCTTGGAGGAATCCTTGGATGCTTCAGTGAGTACGTAGGGTACTTCTTGATAGATTATCTATACCTTAGTAGCAGTGATGTGCATATTTACTATTCCTCCAAACCCAAATCAGTTCTGACTCTTCAGTGCTTCCCCCACATTGACCATACATCAGAATCGCTTGGACAACTTTTAGAAAACATAGATCCCTGGACCCGAACCCAAATCTACTGAATCAGAATCTCCTGGGGTGGGACCCTGGGAAGGTAAAGTTAAAAGCCCCCCAGGTGACTGTCACATAGTCTGTCCCACACCACTCTGCTGACCTGTGCTAGGAACTGCCACCCCAGACATCCTCCCAATCTTTTAGAAGAAACACAGCTCCCTTTGGAATCAAAAGTATAAGCCTCATCCTTTAACTTGTTTGGGATTAAAACAACCAAGATGCAGACTCGAAAACACGTTAATGAAGTCTTGTCAAATGATACAATGCCATGAATGTAAGCACTTTCAGAATTCAAGAACTGTGCTATTTATTGTCTCCTAAGCAAGATAAAGAAGAGAAGTTTATATAAGAGTTGTGGTTTGGTGTCAGAAGAGCTCCTTGAACAAGTAACACTGCTGGATGCTGACCAAGTCGGGTGTGGCAAAGTCTCAGGGAGAGCACCATCATTCACACACTTTCTGAACATATTTATAGCAGTAAGGGGCTAGCAAGATATTTAATGGTGAAGCTATCACTAATCTTTTAACCATAACCCTGACGATAAACCCAAAGTTTATAAAATATATTTGCTATAGGAAATTTTACATGTTCGTTTAAGCTATAAATGAATTTCCCAGCCTTATAGTAACTAATATACTACTCTAAACATTATTTGGTTTCTTGTAGGTTGGAAGGTTTCAGACTGTACAGGTCTGGTTTTCTCCCTGCATCCTGTTCAACATTAAAAAGAGTTTCTAGCACATTCTGATCCAAACCACATCGAGTTGCGATCTTCTCTATTGGGTTTCAGCCCTTATTTCATAAGTCAGAACTTCTTGCCAGGCTCCTTCGTGCCCTTCATTAAGCCCAGATGAGTTCTCTGACTCCTAAACATCACAGGTTTCCATTTTGTCTACATCAAAACCTGCTAAATTATTAAGAAAAAGATCGTTTTTTAAAGTCACCTTTGTTTATTCAGAATGACCTGACACACGGTGAGAACTTGATAAATGTTTGTTGATGATTAATTAGTTTATTAATTATTACATTAACAAGCAATGCAATATAAATGAAAGAGAGAAAATTACTGTAGGGGGAAGGATGGGGTAAAAAGACAAAGAGGGAGAAGGAGAGAGAATGAATGAAAATATGTAGACCTGTAAGATTTAGAGATAAATATCATTTAGGGCAGAGCTGAAGCCTAGTAGTGTATGGGCCAAGCTGGCCCATTAGACATGTTTTGGTAGCTCTGTATGGTATTAAAAAGTTGTTTGTTTTTCAGCCACCTCTCAAAAAAAGAAAAAAATCCAAGAGATTTCACATTAAAATCATCAACACAACAATAATAACAAAAACTCCCCCAAACAGATAACTGTTTTTTTACCCCAAACACTGGAAAATGAAGTCACACTGGGTCCCCATATTCTCATGTGGAAACATCATCTAGGGCTGAGCTGTGGCTCCTAAGTGGGATGTGTCCATCCTCATGTTCACACAGACCCTCTGGTCACCTAACGTAAGCATTTGCCCTCAAACCTGACCAACCTCCCTCATGCCATCACTTCCCTGAGCCCTGTCAGCATTTGAGTTTTTACCTGATCTCTCCAACTTCCTCTCCTTATATGTAAAGAACTGGTATCCAGAGGTAAAATGACCCAGTTGTGACACACGAACACTTCCTAGTTCAACGCCCCCTTTACTATTATACTAGTCGCCAGAAGAAAGCGGGTAGGAAGTAAGGGTCAAAGAAACAAACCCTGAAGAGTAATGCTGATAAGACAGTTCCTATTTTCCACTTCTGCTGAGCCTTAAGCATTATTCCCATGGATGACAGTCAACCTCACACAGCCACAGTGCTTCACTGGGCATTTATACCTCTCCCAGCAATTATTTATCATTCCAGTCTTGTTCTCACTGCCTCTCTGCAGAACACTCAAGAACAGGACACTTTCATTTAGTCATCCAGGATTATTCCCATGAGGCTCAAAGCTTCCCACTAAAATGCGGTCCCTTCCAGGGAGTGTCTCCCCACCTCAGTTTCTACCATTGATATTTTAGTCATAAGTCTGAGTTGAAAATAAAGACACTTTCTAGAAAATTTAAGTTACATGATGACATATTAACATTTCTTAATCAAATGTCTTTTTTTTTTTTTTTTTTTTCTTGCGTTATGCGGGCCTCTCACTGTCGTGGCCTCTCCCATTTGCGGAGCACAGGCTCCGGACGCGCAGGCTCAGTGGCCATGGCTCACGGGCCCAGCCGCTCCGCGGCATGTGGGATCTTCCCGAAACGGGGCACGAACCCGCGTCTCCTGCATCGGCAGGCGGACTCTCAAGCACTGCGCCACCAGGGAAGCCCCAAATGTCTTTTTAATCAGTTTCACTAGAAATTAAAATGTATTTTCTCGTCTCTAGTTCATTTCTTATTTAAAAGAAACTATTGATTTAAGCCCAAGAATTTATAGTTGAGCAAAAGAAAAATTTAATCAACACAGGATTATAAAAACTTTGAATCAAATTTAAATCAATTACTACCCAAAGAGTTCTGAATGAGAGTAAACAAATTATTTAACTTCTAAGTGAAAGCTTTATAGATCTGACATGAACATTTTTATTGCCATAGTTAACAGAAGTTTTGTAAATTAGTGTCTATAGAGAGAAAAATCGTCAAAGCCAGAAACATTTCAGGAGGAGCAAAAGATAGTAGCTCCCAGCACTCAGACAATGATTTTTATATAAAGTTTTAATCCTAAAACTAAGCTCTTATCAGTAATTGATTTAAACCACGAGTCTCAAGAACTGGTATAAATCTTGACATCTAAAATGGATATTAAAATCTTTTCCTAAAAGATTCTAAATACTGGGAGAATTCTTTGCCTTAATTAGCTGCTGCCATTTCATTCAATCAACTAGTATTTTATTTATAGAATGCCTACCACAGACAAGGAGGCCCTGTGGGGCACATGCAAATGAAGTAGACAAGTCCCTAGAATCTAGAAGGGGGAATAGAACATGCATTTGGTGACAAAGCAGTAAGCAGTAATTGCGATAAATACAGTGGTGCAATGTGCTATCACAGTTCATTCATTTGTGCATTTGTGTATTCATTCACAGAACATACACTGGGTGCTTGCTCTGCTAGGAATAATCCTAGAAGCAGATAAAGACATAAGCCCTACTCCCAGTGAGTTTACAGTCCAAAAGAGGAGAAAAACAATGATCACATAATTACACAAACACAAAGGAGAGATGCATGGTTCTGAAGGAGCGCAGAAGGGGATTTGACCTGGTCAAGCGGAAGCAGTTGATGAAGTAGGCTCTGATCTGGACTATTACTAAGAGTTGCTGGGCAGAGAGACTGAAAGGCGTGTGCAAAGGTGCTTTGAAGGCTGGGTGCATGGGAAGTACTTATGACTGAAAGAAAACCCAGCTGGCCCAGAGCAGAAACAGGGAGAGCCATGTAGATGAGGATGGGGGACAGGCAGGGCCCATACCACGAGGAGATCTGTGGGCTATGGTAAGGATTTGGATTTTATATTGAGAGCAATGATAAGACATAGTGGGGTTAAGCAGGGCACAGGGAGGACAGATTTGGTTTTGAAAAAACAAAAAACACGGCTTACTGGGTTAAAAACAGATATGGCAGAAAGAAGAGACAAGAGTGGATGTGTATAGGCTACCTCCAGGAAATACCTGATGCTAGTTTAGATTAGAGTCGCTGAAGTAATCAAGTTCATAGATTTGAAATATTTAGGCAATGAGATAGCCAAGCACTGGTGATGACTCTGCTGTGAGAAGAGAGCAAGAGAAGGAGAAGTGTCTATCAGAGATGACTCCTAGACGTCTGGACTGGATGGAAGGTGGTGCTAGTTATCAAGAGAGGGAACACTGGAAAAGGGCCAGGTGTGGGGCGGGAGATCACAAGAATGATATTGGATATGTCGAGCTTGAGATGCCCTTAAAAATGCAGAAAGAAATGCCAGGAAGCAAACAGATAGATGGGTCTGGAGGTGAGAGGTGAAACCAAAGCTGGGGACTTGTATTTGTGGGTTCGAATTGATGCAGAGGAAGACCGTACAAAATGAGAAAAGGAAAAGGCCTGTGGCCGAGTCTTGAGGGCTCTAATATTTAATGGCTGAATAAAGAGCTATGAGAGAGACAGAGAAAGAACTACCCCAGAGGCAGGAGGAAAACCAAGTAAGTAGGGCACCATGGAAGCCCTCGCTAGGCAGTGCTTTAGGATATGACAATGGTCAGTGTCACATGCTGTTGAAAGGTGAAGATGATAACCGAAAACATCCACTGGATCTAGTGACACAGGCAAGAGCATATGATGGGGGCTCAAACCAGACTGAAATGAACTGAGTGTGAGAGGGAGGTGAGGACACAAACTCACCTCATCAGCTCTGGCTCAGTGGGGTAGAGGAGACAGTGTAGGGGAAACGGGAAATGAGTGTCTGAGTGAGGGCTGTTTTTTGTTTTTGTTTTTCATGAAAGAAAACGAAGCGCATTTAAAAGCCAACTGAAAGGCTATGAGGAGGAGGGACAGGGAAGGAGGGAGGATGATTAACAAAAGGATCCTCAGGAGGGAGACTGGGCTCAGTTCCAAGGACACTGGAGGGACTGGGCTATGAGGAACAGAAGGTAACACAAGGGAAGGACAAGGTGGGAGTAGATGCTTGGTATCTGGAACAGAGAGCCCTATGAATGGCTGTTCTCTCTACACAGTGGATGGTGAGGCCACTGGCTGAAAAGAGTACAAAAGATCTGAAATGGTCAGTGTGGAAAGATGAAAAGCAGAGTAAGTGAAAAAGGGCCATGCCCAGGGCCACCTGAGGTGGGTAGTCAGCAGTCTATGGGGGGCTCTGAGGTAACTTTTCTGCCACCTGAAGGAGTATACTGTCAGGTTGGTTCATGTCCGATCAAGCTTTTGCCAGACTCTTTTACATGGAATGCTGGATTTTTGCTTTGAGTAATGAAAACTGAACAAGAAAGCAGACAAGTAAATCTACTTTCAACAGATGAGTCTAAGACTAGAATGAGTATACTAAGGTTTCAAATAAATTTTATTAATCAAACTTAATCTCCTAAGTACATGACTAAGCTCTATCCTTTAAACTCAATGCTTATTTCTTTCAAAGTAATTTCAGGAAATTTCACCCAAGCTGATTCCTTAACATTATTTTATATCTACACAATAAGCAAAACTAAAAAATAAAATGGCCTGAATGTAAAGCTTACACAGTATATATAAATGAAGTTCTCTTTTTTGTGAATACAGGCTAAGTCTATTACAAAAATATCTCAATATTGGAAAATGCAAAAAATAAAAAAGTATAAAGTCATAATTTTGGATGGCAAAGAACAAACAACATCCGAACACGAGAGCTTTTTTCCTACCATATTCATGACACTTCTTTCTTCTAGTAGTATTCGAAATAAATTAGCTGTAATCTTGTTATCATGGACACCTTGCTCAAGGCCACGATTATCATCTTGCATGAGTCTTCGATCCATGATAACTTCAATCTGACCTACCAAACAAACAAACAGGCCAGGGTTATTCATTGACAACCTCATAATACAAGGCAGGGTCTCGACTGAAGTTTTTCCTCCAGTCAGGGAGACAGACCTATACAACCCACAGTACCATGGGCTTCCTCTCAATAATAGCTCAAAGCAGCTAGTATAAACTCATAAAACAGGATTGTATTTCTCCTTTTCTTTATCAGCTTCTAGTAAAATCTAATAAGAAATTTAAAAATGGGACAGAGAGATCAAAATTAGTGAAACTTACAAAATTTTAATAGAACGAGTAAATTAAATCCTCCAAAAATTTAGTGGCTGCATTTGGAATTTAAAAATGTTTATAAGGTTCATTAAAAAATGTACATCACACATGGAGTAATAAGACAAACCCAGAAGGACAGACTCTAAAAAGGATTTGAAGTAAAATTTTAGGTTACTTGATATGCTGTGATTCTCTGAAGCCCTAGAATTTGGAGACACCCACCATGTACCCCCTTCCCTCTCTGATACTGTGTTAGTGTGTCTTTTCTCCTATAGCCCCAAAAGTTGTCATATTTGGTTCCTTTATTTGCTATGCAATAATTCTACAACTCCTTTAGTTTAAGTTGTAAGCTAATGGTTAGGTTATAAAATTACAAACTAAAAAACAAAACTGAAAAAAAATCACCCAGAGACATATTTATATGCTTAAGATTGTACTCCCCCCAAACCCACTGAAGTTATATGTGTTGAAATATATATATTCATCCATACATTCATTCATATGTGCTACTGTATTGAGTAATCATTTGGCATAAAAGGGAACTACGTAAAGGATATTAGTAACTATTATGCTTACATAGTCAAACCAACTCTGTTTAGTTTCTATCTTCTCAGTTTAGGTATCTAGTACATAAAATTAACAGTGCTGGTTAGAATTTTCATTGTTGTTCTTTCCATATTTCATAAGACAATTGTCCAGAACATGCTCTTCAGGCACTGGGGCTAACTGTCCCCATGCCTAACTAGAATTTGATCTCTTCACACTCAAATTAGTATATCAATCTCTTGGTCATTTCTAACTCTTCTCTCCGCCTCCAAACATTAGCCCATATACTATGTGACACTTAGTAACTTCCTGGCCTGTACTCAAATTGCTTTTATGTCCATAGCTCTCTTGATCAGGGAAGTGAGATAATACTGTTTGGTTCATGACTGCTTGAATCCTAAAGTCCAGTCCCCTATTTAAGTAGAGCCCAATTTTGAGAATTTAAGGCAGAGTTTAAACATGGGTAGCTCAGGAGTCATCTCTGACACAGAGGCTTTATGTTCTGATTTCTAAAAAATTATGTCACAAGTTACAGAATGGGCAACTTCTCATAAAATTCCAGACTTCTGGGCTTTTCTTCAAAAACTGAAAAATTTGGCAACACTGGGCCCCTTTCCCCATGGCGACAAGTAGCTGACAGCAAGCAGTGGCCACCCCAGTGTACAGGGGGGATGTGCTCTGCAATTCACTCAAATCCTAGCACTCCCCACTGGAGCCCCAACATGAGGCCATTATTATTTTTATAACTGTATTCATGTTTTCATGACATGATCTCATGATTTTGTCTAATGAAGGCCACAAAGAAAAATGATAAGTAGTAAGGTTTTCTGTGTGTGGAAGTACAGAATGCATGTATATACATAATATAAATAGTGGGTTTGTATGCATATGCCCAATATAAAATGAATATGCCAGGCATCTGTACACATTTATTATCTGCCTGGCTCTGTAACATGCTTGTCTTAGCAACTCTTAGTATGTTAGGCAAGAAGAACAATTGACACGTATATGATAATTAAAAATATGTATTATAAGGGACAAAGTCTCCCAATAGAAAGTTCTAAAAGAAAATCAATCAGCGTCTACTATTTTCTCTTTCACTCCATTTCATTCTCTCTTTTGGAATCTGTAAAGTCATGTCTGTCACCTCTTTATCCCCATATCTGTATCATCTCTACTCCCTTTATTCTTTTCAGCTGGTAGTGTCCTAGAAGGATGGGATTCAGAGAAGGACCTAAGTTTGAACTGTAACTTTCCACCTTTGCAAACTTGGTTAAGTTTTCTGAACTCTATCTAAACTTAGTTTAATTTGAATCTGAATTTCCATTCCTAGTCACAATAATGACAGACTTCTGCAAACAATGAGCCATCAGGAGAAGTAAATTATCTTTAAAAATAATCAGTTTCATGGACTTTTAGTTCCCTCTTTTTTCATCTGAAGATTAAGGAAATTTATTATTTTACATTGGTCTCACAAAGCTCAAAATTAACTAACAGTCTGGTTCTCAAAAGAAGAAACCCTGTGACTGGGGATGATAATTAATACATATTACCAGCAGAAAGATTATACACTGGGGAGTGAAACTTATAAGAGCAAAAAAGAATCTAAACAACACACCACTTTTCAAACTCGAAACACCTAAAGACTGAGCAGAGAGCAGGGTCAAGCGATGCTCAGCATCCTGGACATATGCCATTGTAGTCATCGGATAAACATTCGCCTGAAGAGGCAATTTGCTCAGTGTCATTCTAGGTTGAATCTGTAAGACCAAACAGTTCTCGTTAAGGAAAAAAAAAAAATCAAGTGATATTTCCACATGTACTTAAAAAAATTACTATCGACTACAGACGGTTTTCCTTCCAAACAGAAAAAGGTACAGCACCTTTCTTGTCCAATAGAACAGCTAACTTAGAAATGAAAACATGCTTCAAAACAGTATGAAGAAAAATCGTGAGCATCTTAGAAAACAATTTTTAAGTGAGAAAGGTAGAACTTGTCCAGATTTTTAAAATAGGCATTACTATTTAAATTCAGAATAAAAATCCTTAACAAGTTTTCTAGCTCTCCAATATTTGCACAAAACAAATTATAAAGGTATTAAGGATTCACTTCTCATTTACATCTAACATACTGCTTTTGTAATGAAGGCTAAGCATAATAGCTCTCTATCCCCTTTCAAGAAATATCTCTTATGATTCTTGAATCAGTTTTAATAAATACCACACGTCTCCTCACCAAATCCTCTAACATACTATGTTATAGTAATCAAATGCATATTTATATTTAAAAACTATTCAAGGCTTACTCTTCTTGTTTAGTTTCAATGTAGATAGTTCCAAATTCCAATTTTTCTTGGTCTAGTATCTGAATGCATGAAATACAACTCTAATTTTATATTTTGAGAGACTGACAATGCACTAAGCTGATCTGGGTCAAGGAGACTCACTCAAACCTCAGGAGGAGACATCAAACAGAGACTTTGTTATCAGAAATATTATACCACATAAAAATGCCATCTCTTCTTTTAAACTCATGAAAGTTTGACATGAAACTCAGTAAAGGAGAAGTTCAACATAAACATAATAGTTAACATGTACTGAGTAGCCATTAATTCCAGGCACAGTATTGAGAATTTCACAGATAAGATCTTTAATCTTCACAACAACCCTGCAGTAGGTCGTTCAACTTACTGGTTCTGAATAGTGTCCCCCCAAATTCACGTTCGCCCAGAACCTGTGAATGTGATTTTACTTTGAAATATGGTCTCTGCACATAAAATCAAGTTATACTGGATTAGGGTGAGCAATAATCTAAAGAATGGTGTCGGTGCTTTGTGACCTCCTGGAGGGGTGGGATAGGGAGAGTGGGAGGGAGGGAGATGCAAGAGGGAAGAGATATGGGAACATATGTATATGTATAACTGATTCACTTTGTTATAAAGCAGAAACTAACACACCATTGTAAAGCAATTATACTCCAATAAAGATGTAAAAAGAAAAAACCAAAACTAGATGTTTGGGACTTCCCTGGTGGCGCAGTGGTTAAGAATCAGCCTGCCAATGCAGGAGACACGGGTTCAGTCCCTGGTCCGGGAAGATCCCACATGCCACAGAGCAACTAAACCCGTGCGCCACAACTACTGAAGCCCGTGCGCCCGCACGCCTAGAGCCTGTGCTCCGCAACCAGAGAAGCTACCGCAATGAGAAGCCTGCGCACCGCAACGAAGAGTAGCCCCCGCTCAACGCAACTAGAGAAAGCCCGTGCACAGCAATGAAGACCCAACACAGCCAAAAATAAAAAAATAAGATTAAAAAAAAAAAAAAAAGAATGGTGTTCTTACAAGAAATGGGGAATTTGGACACAGAGAGAAACATTCAGAGGCACAAGGAGACCATGTGACAGCACAGGCAGAGATTGGAGTGATATGTCTACAAGGCAAGGTGTACCAAGGATTGTCTGCAACCACCAGAAGCTAGAAAATGCAAGGTTATACTTCCCTAGAGCCGATGGAGGGAGTGGGGCCCTGCCTACATCTTAATTCTGGACTCCTAATGTCCAAAACTGTGAGAGAATAAATTTTTGTTGTTTTAAGCCACCCAGTTTGTGGCGATTTATATCACAGCCCTAGGACATTAACAAACTGGTGGAAAAAACAACTGTAACATGTTAATAAAAAAAAAAAAGGAAGGAAGGAAGGGAAGCTAATTAGAAAGAAATCTCCAATCCTGATCTTCCTACTCCATTTAGTTGTATACTTAAAAAAAGACATTTAAAACTGTCACAATTGTGTAGCTGTTACCCTCACTCCCCACCTGCGGGTCTAGATTTCTAGTTTGGCCCAAGTAACTACTCTTTTCAAAGCTTAAGAAATGGCCTATTCTAAAAAAGAGGAAACAGGCTATATAGACTTAAAAAAAATATTTTCCTATTTATTAAAATGGTCGAATCTTGTAAAGAAAATTCACATTTTTATTCATTTTTACTAAGGTTTTTCATTCATGTATACACCCACACATACATATTACTGCTTCTGTAAGACTTTAAGAAAAGCCTATCTTTTGTACACAAGGAAAATGAATCACCATAATGTCAGGGCTTCATTTGAAAACCAAACAGCTGTAGAAGAATTAACATGCTAATTCAAAATGTATGCTGCAATTTTTATGCTCTGAAAAGGTTTAAATTTAACTTTTGCAGGAAATTGTAGAAGAGAAAATTATCACAATCCCTTCCACTCATCCCAGTTGAAAATCAAAGTAACAGCATTTGTGAAATTATTTATATTCGTAGCCAGAAATTTCTAAAATGCTAATGTCTCAAAAACATGCTCATGGGGCTTCCCTGGTGGCGCAGTGGTTGAGAGTCCGCCTGCCGATGCAGGGGACACGAGTTCGTGCCCCGGTCCGGGAGGATCCCACATGCCGTGGAGCGGCTAGGCCCGTGAGCCATGGCTGCTGAGCCTGCGTGTCCGGAGCCTGTGCTCCACAACGGGAGAGGCCACAGCAGTGAGAGGCCCGCATACCGCAAAACAAACAAACAAACAACAACAAAAAAACAAGCATGCTCATGTTTCTAATAGTATTATTTCAAAGATATGTTGTTACACACATACACTCTGAATACAGAGATTTAGGTAACAATCAAAAGAGCTCTAGTAAATTAGAGAAATGACAATCTTAAAAATTTTTCTGAATCAATTTTCCCATTACTATTTCAAACTATTTCATGAAAATTTTGACTAAATACACACCTACTCACATTTCTAAACTGATGTTTTTACTTGTATATCTATGTCTATGTACACGTATATGTGTGTGTATATATGTACACACACATATACATCAGTAGAGAGAAGACTTTTCCTGAAATTTAAAAGAGCCCAGTATTAAATCATACATTTAAAAATCATATGTGGAATAAACTAAATATACATAGACCAACTCCTTATGAGGAAAAAAAAAGATATACTCCATCAGTCCCTAATTAATATTTCCTTTCTAATTAGATAAATTCATATACATTTTAGCCACAAGGTATTTAACATATGTAATGGTCACTAAATCTTCCTTTGAAAAAATAAATCCTTACAAATAGTCATTTCACAAAATAGTCTTGCAAATATATTTGTTCTAACCTTGAAAATATGGTTGAATACAGAACCTAAAAGTGTCTGTTAAAATTCAGTTTTATTTTAGAAATAATTTGCAACCTTAAGCATATTTTTTCAAAGATTCCAAAACTAACTGGTCCATCATCACATATAAAAGTTACATATTATAACCCTTACTTAAACATTTTAAAGGGAAATTACCTGGTATCCATTTAGGTCAGTATAAAATCTATTTTGGTTGTTGATGCTAGAAGAAATTCTCATTGCAATCTCACGGTTATGTTCTTTTCGGATGTCCACAGTGTTGGAAATTTCCACAGACTGTCCTTCTATTCCTAAAGTTAAAAGAATATATACATTAATAAAAAATAATTGCCCCGCTTTTCTTAAATATACTATACAGAACTCTTTCTAACGTTACAGGTATTTTCCTATTTCCTACTTCCTATCTTTACTATCTCTTACATGCCAAATGGTGTCACAATTCACCTTTTTTTTTAATCAGACAATAGAAAACATTTATTCAGGGGCATATATAACTCGACAGAAGGATGAAGAGGCTAGAATGAGATAAATGTAGGTGAAATATAACATGCAAATGATTCTGCAATGAGTTCCAGAGGGGAAAGAGGACATTAAATGAGAAAAGGTCAGCCACACTACAGGCCAATCCACCACTCATGTGCACTGCCACTCCCCAACAGAGCCATTCAAGCCTACTTCTTCACCAGGCTCTCCTCACACACTGGAAATTATGAGCAGTGAAATTTACACCCTGGTGGTTCAAGACACAGTGTATTACTGCCCATGATCTATAGCCAGGAAAAGAGACAGGAGGTCTATGGCTAAAACTGGTATTACCATATTAGTATTTGTGAAGTATAATCTGAGAGCTCCCCAGAACTTAAATCAATTTAAATTGAGTTTGGTGTCTCTTAGGATCCCTTGTTATGGAGTGACTCATTTTGCCCTTTGCTATATAAAGCAGAGGAGAGCTTGAAAAAGTCCCAGATGTATCGAACATTTTTGTTTTTTTGGATAAGCCTAAAGTATTTACTAATTTCTATCTGTCATGCTACCCTAACTATATCTTCAGGTCCTCAGTGAACCCTTGGGTCTATTTCAGAGCTGGAGAGAGGAGTTATGAAGAAACCCAACACTCTTAATACAGATTTGAGTGGATATACAAGATACTATAGGATCTTCTAAGAAAGAGAATGATTACGAAAGTGGTCAAAGAAGAAAGACTGGCCATATCCTATTTCATACAGCTGAAGTTTTTTGAGGTTCCAAGAACCCTGGACACTTAACCACCGTTGTTATTCATGACCCACCGCTCCCCCTTCTCACACACAATCTGTCACTCTGCTGATAACCAGTGTACTCTTCAGAGAAAGAGGGCTGTGTACAGAAAAGCAGGGAGGGGAGAAAGAGAGTGAGGAAGACTTTTTCCAGGAGCCAAGAAGAATCCCCAGAGTTTAGACAGCAAATAGAAAGGAAGTTTGGATCTGTGGGATTTGTGGAAAAAATGTAAATGCAGCTGGCCCAGGCATTATAGGTTTATGTGAAAAGTACAACTGGAAATTATACACCATAAATAATAATATGGTAACAATACTAAATGGGCTGCAGTTTCCATCAATATAATTTTCAGAATGCTCACAGAAATTCTCTTCTGGTAGATGTTGTCCTTCCAACTTAACAACCTCAACCAGAGCCAACTTCAGTTTCTTACTATGATGAGCGTGATCTCCATGGGTGGGGAAAGGAAGTGCCATTTTTTTCCCTGCTTTAGAGCCACAGTCTGAACCACTACCTCTGCTAATTAAATGCATACATACATTTCCTTCTGAGAATTACCAGAACCTGCCAACATAGCTGATCCAAACTTCTTCACAACTATTGGGAAGTTTGGCGGGGGGCGGGAAGCAAGTGCATATGCTGGTGATAGAACAATAGTGTGTTCTTTGAACTGGGAAATGCATTACTTTAAAGGTAAACTTTCCTTCCAGTATACTTACATTATCCAGAATATTTTTCTAAAACCAAATGAATTGTATATAAAATTTTAAAAGACAAGCATCCACAAATGAACCAAAGATGCCCCAAACCTAAAATGTAGCACTAGAGATGCTAGTATTAATGCAGCATTAGGGAAAACAGCAGATGGCAAGTGACTCTACTTTACTGACAGCATTCATAGCGTTTTTAGTACTGCTTTATGTGTTCTCCTCTCTAGATGGACTATTATCTCAGGGGTCAACAAAATACATGAAATGAAATAAAGTCTTCACAAAGGAGACCATCATTAATTTCAAGGTATGTACCTCTGGAAAACATTTACAAAAAACAAGCTTCGAGAAAAAATTAGTAATTTCACATTATCTCTAGCAGTGCTAAATTATTTCTATTGAGAAAATCATCTTTCTCAAGCTCAGTATTATGCTCAGATCCTGTTGGGGCAACAAACGCTTAAAGTTCCTTTAAAAGGAGCCTTCACGTCCATTCACAATTCAGCAAGACATTCATTTAAATTCTGTGCCAGGGCAGACTTAAAATAAGTTCAGACTTAATATACTTATTGTGAACAAACCAAATGAAACCTGTAATGGTAATAAAAGCAACGAGGTATCCCTGAGTTCTCAAAGAAAAATAATTATTTTTAAAAGAAGAACATGTGTGAGGGAGAAAGAAGACTGCTGACTTTTCCTATTGTGTCAAGAATTCCTAAGATGTGTCAGTCCCAAAGAAGCTCATGGGACTGAGGGCAGAACTCCCCAGGAAGCAGGGGTACAAACCCAGTGGTCCCAGTGATATGCTGGATCTTTGCAGGATGTGGCAGCAAAAGATACTTTTACTAATATGGTTCTATCTGAGCATAGATGGCCAGGGCTTTCTAAGTCCTTCTAGTTTTTCTTCAATCCTGGGAAAGAAAATAGCTCCTACTTAACAAGAGTAGTCCATGGGGGAGGGGGAGCAGGTGTGAGGCCATTCCCAGGTTTCAACAGAGAACTAAGTGCCCTTTTGCTAGCAACTCACACTCTGTGCCCTTGGAGAAGAGAGGATGGAGATTGTTTATCCTTACTAACACACAGGCAATGCAAAGTAAAATTTAGCCAGTTCACAGGTGAAAAGCTGTAACAGAGAAGCCAAACGAGTGTTTCCGAACCCTGGAGCTCTTTAATTTTTCCTCGCTAGAGCCTATGAGCTGCTCACAAACACAGACTGTCTTATACACTATCTCATATTTCAGTTTTTAACAATGTTTTGGGCAGGTGGTCGGTGCTGAATCACTGTTAAACAGAATGAGTAAAGATGTGAGAGGCTGTCCCTCATGATGCAGAAGTTAACTGGTTGGGAGAAAGCAGATGGGCTATAGATAAGGTTCAAATAGATAAAAGATGAGTAAGTACTTTCATTTTGAGCAAACACATGCATGTTAGGTCAGTTCCTCAGGTATAGGGACCATGTCTTATTTATCTTATGCTCCCAGCACATAATAGGTACACAATAAGTGAGTGAAGGGTTCAGCTGCATGGTGGAATGACAACAGCCAACAAGTACCAAGTGCTTACTATGTACCATACACTATAGGCTTTACATATAATCATTCCTGACCCTAAGCCTAGGAGGAAATTATCTGCCCCAGATCACAAGGCCTGGCAGAACCAGGACTAAACCTCTCAACCATCATGTCTCAATAGCAGACCAACTACTGGAAAATGTTGAAATTACTTTGGGACCAAGGATTGGGAAAAGCTTTGTAGGAATGCTTAAGTAGAGAGGAGAGCTCCAGACTATTTTCAAACAAGAAGAGAGGGCACTGATCTGGGATCTGATAAGCTGCGAGTTACTGAATTGAGTGAAATAAAATTAAGGGACACGGCTTGCCAGAACCCAAAACTTCTTTAAAACAATCCAAAAATCTCTTTTAAAACATCACAGTCACTTTAGAAGCCAATAAAGTAATATATATTAACTATTAAAGACACATACCCTAACTACCTCTCTTATCTACCTAAAATGAACACTAATCACAAGCACAAGCATGTTTACAGCGAGCGCACTGGTGCCAAGAGTAAAAAAAATGGGGAAACATGCTAGATGTCCATCAACAGGCAAATGAATAATAAAATCAGGTACACCCATGCTATGGAATGCTGTGTAGCAAATGAAAAGAATGAGGCAACTGTCTGTCCTGGCAGAGAAAGATCTGATGGGAAAAGCAAACAGAGCGTTTGCACAGTACGATAAACTTTATGCTGAAACAGACACAAACATAATAGTATACATTTCTGTAGGGGTGTGTGTGTGTGTGAGAGAGAGAGAGAAAGAGAGAGCGTGCAAATATCTGTATTACCTCTCTTGAGCAGTGGATAGGGGCCAGACACAGATTCCAGAGAGACTTTATATCCATAATGTGTGAAATTTTTGTCAAGAGTATGTGTGTAAATAGACACACACACATACATGTATATAATTTGCACTTTATACATAAAAATAATTTTAAGCATTTTTTAAAAAGAATATTTTCTAAGATGGCAGGGAAAAATGAAACTAAGGAGGCAAGGGATCAGGGTCGGAAGGCAAGACCCTCTTGACTCCGTTGCTCAGCACTGGTCTTAAGGAAACCAAGAAACATACTCCTTTGAGTATGGAGAGAAAAACTGGAGAGCGCCTCTAACACATCCCCTGTGCCTGAAAGAAGAGGTGGAGCAAATATCCAGGATGGTCTAATGACTAAGTCATGCAGATGGAAAGGCCGGGATCATGGCTCTGAGCAGCAACTGAGGGCCCCTGGAGAATCCTAGGCGTATCTCCTCTGCACAATCTACTCTCTTCATGTCAGATCATTCTAAAATCTATCTGGACCAGACTAATTCAGCCCTCTCCACCTGCCTAGATCACCTTATTCTAACAATTCTGAAATGCAAGGAATACTTTTCCAAGGAATATAAATCGGGCGCCTCTCTCACGACACTGAAGTAGTTATAGGAATAAGAGGCAGCAGCTCGGGTAAAAGAGCAAGAGAGAGCCCCTCTCTCACTCCAGCAAGAATCCAATATCTTATTAGTGGCACTCAATGTGTGCTTAGGACAAGTCATCAGATCAAGATGGAAAAACAGCAACTGGCCCACACCCACCTGGGAAAATGAAAAGTGATGGTGAGAGCCCTAAGAGAGGTGTTTAAGCCTTCAAACAGAAGTCTAACTGAAACGTGACATAGATAGGAAATGAAATATAAAATAAATCCCCAAAAAACCCACCCAGGATTTAAAGCAAGGTCTTCAGTGACTGTCCTTAAAATGTGTGCTCTGGGGCAAAAATGGAACCT